CCTACTTTGGATTTTTTTTCAATAAACTGGGCTATTCCAGTATCTGGATTGTGCAAGCTCTTCTTGAACTTGAGAAGAACTAGTGCATTTGTAAATTCTGCTAGTTGTGAATTTGTGATTGGGTGGGAGTAGGCACTGTTATTAACAAGCCTTTTTTAACAAACACACAAAATAATCCCTTTGTGTTGCTCCTCTCAGTTGTCTTCCTGGTGCAGCAGCCACTGATGACCACGGTGGCTACAAAGATGATTTTGCCCTGTGTTGTCCTTGCCTTCTCATGCCATGCGGGCCATCCCACCTGGGCTCCGAAACTCCCTGGCAGCTGTGGCTGGGCAGGGAGCAAACAAGAGCCACCGCTGCTGTGACTCCTTGTGTTCACTGGGGTGACAATGAAGGTGGGGCCCATCCCAGATGTTCTGCCGGATTTTGGCACTGCAGAAATGAACTTGTTGCACATGCAGAACACTGTGCTATTGCGCTATGTTGGCAGTGAGAATTGCCTGCTGGAAATCACCTCCGCCACAGCTGCTCATCATCCTTACGAAGCGTCTCCAGGGAATCAAGGTCCACTCGCCGTGGCACAGCAGGTAGAGAGATCCTGCTATGGCGAAGCCCCATGTCACTTCCAGGCCATTCATCACTACACACCCAGGGGTGTCACACCGGTTCCAAGAGTGACCCCAAAAGCACACATGTCAGCAGCAAGGCAAGCAGTTCTATCTCTGAGCAGAAGACTTCCAGGAACAAGGCATTCATTGGTCACGTTACCCATTTTGTGATTAGGAAGGCTTTGAGGCCTCCTACATGTTTTGTGAAGGGAAGAGCCAGGGTGTCCATTGCGACCCATGGGTCTGCTGTTTTTGCATGTCAGGTCTTTGCTTACCAGGGGCCATTAGGAATCCCAGAGGTGCGGTAGAGATGGAAGGCGGGGCAGGCCTGGCCTGGATGCACACTGGCATGTGTGACATCACAGCCGCAGTGTGACATCACAGCCACAGTGTGACAATGGGGGCAGCTGCCAAGAGGAGCAGCAAGTAACGCTGCCCCAGTGCACCCTCGGCGAGCGTGCACGCAGACAGGAGGCTGTGCTGAAC